CTAGCGGGAAAGATCGATGGCCTCTGGGTTTATAGAATATCTGTGTCCGATTCCAGCGTGGTGCTGGCCCGGAATGCCGACATCCGTCCAATGAGACGGTCATTAAAATTAACTGAGAAATGCTCCTCGGCTTAGTAGTGAGACAGCCGAAACTAAATGTCGACCTAGGAACCGAAATCCGGCGCCGGAAATGAAGTCGAATGTTCTGGGAAGCGAAGGAAGCTGTAGCTGTAAGGAGATGCACCTCACATGCCCAGATACGTACGCCGAGGCAGGCAAAGTAAAACTTTCAAGGGATCAGGCCGGCTTGAGGCCCACCCACCAATCCAAAACTCGAACCCAAGAAGGAAGTCGAAAGGCAATCGAAAGGTAGATGGCCGACTCGGAATTGACACGCAGACGTCTTCCTTAAGAGTCCTGAGGTGTCGTGCTGATCAGTTGTCGATCGGGGAAGGGGGAAAGAGTAGATTCCAAATTCGGCGTCAACACTGGACTCTGCGCTGCGCTCGAGGGAAGAGAGATAACCACTGCCAGCAGGACTAGTAGGCATGCGCAAGATAGAGGTGCACGTGGAGTGATGATCGCAGCTGTCGGAGTTTGAATGTCCTTTGGAAGCCCGATTTTCACCATAAGCCCCCCGCTCTCCTGCTTCAGTGGTTCTCCTCCTGCGCTATCCAGATTCTTACTTGCCAGATGAAGAATCGGAACCCGCCAGTTATTGATGGTTTATCACGCTCAATTCTTCGAAACACACCTACAGAACGCACTCAAATCTGCCAGTGCACCTGCCACCATTCCTTGCTGGTCCTTGCTGCAAGTGTTATATACTTCAATCTAGGCCGCCGCTAAAGACGCCTTCAACGGCATGTCTCCTATATAGTATTCGTGGCTTCGAAACCGTATCATCTGTTCGGACGCCAGAACGAGCGACGGAGTCTGTCAAGAAAAGCTTGTTCGGACGCGCCCGACACACTTTGGACACCTCAGCGCGCTTTCACGTCTCCTACGCCGCAAATGTACGTCATTCCAGCAGCATAGAACCATATCAAGGTCCGCGGATCATGTCCACCATGTGGCGTCACCGGGCATGCCGAGGTCCCTCAATTCGTCCTGAGCACTCGTTCTCTGGGAATCACTTGGCTAGACCATCCAAAATTTCTCGGCCAATATGACCGGTAAATTGCGCTCAAGCTGCAAACGACAAGACCGACATGTTTAAATTTTGGCATTCGTACAGTCTTTAAACATACTGCATTTTCGGATCAAGCGCTTGGTGTCCTGTCGCTCGGTGGATCGCGCGCGCCGGCTCCGGTGATAATAAGTTGCGATGACATGTACAAGCTTGCTCGACGAGTTATGCCGGTACTCTCAATTTCAGAAGACACTGTTCGCCATGTTCGTCACCCGGCCTGAAACGCCAAAATTAATTACCAATCAATTAGGATGCCTGCTATAAGCCATCCTCCGCACTAGGGTCGCTGAGAATCGCGCCACAATGACGCGATGACTGAAGCCGCCCGAAACTCGCGGCCTCTACCTCATTTTTGGAGGGAAGGGTTCAATAAGCGGTATTCGCACGACGCAAACCTGCGAGAACTTAATGGAAGATATGATAGCTGGGACTACACGCAGAGATTTCGTTGCATGCAGAGCTTTCTATAAAAAAGTGCGGTAGAAACGGGAAAACCGGCGTTAAAAACCTTAATCGGAATTAAAGGTCCTAACATACACATCCACGTCATCCGGTGGCGACGCAGGGTTGAGTTCTGAAGTTTGGCGGAGAAAATGGGGGGATGGAACCGAACACGCACTGGATCTGAGACTTAAGAGACGAACGGTGTGCGTGCCCCACTTCACTGTCGCCTCACGATTTCACCGATGACCGAATCCGACAACATCCAGGATGCGTCAAAGTTGGACGAAAAAATCAAAGGCAACGATGATCTTCACGTCGCTTTCAAGGAAGCGCTCGCCATCAGCAACCGGCATAAAGGCGTGAGTAGACCTCGCCATGTACCTTGGGCGCCGCTCACGCTTGTTTTGCAGAGGAGCAATTTCTGGGGGATCCTCGCCATTGCGAGCAACTACGCCGCGATCGCTGCGTGCATCGTCTTTTCCGAATACGCATGTCCCTATCTGGACACCAGGGCCGCTTGGTCAATATATCTCCTCATGGCCCTCGTAATTTCCTCGCGCCTGCGTGCATTCGAGCACCTCGTCCACGAAGCATCCCACAACAACCTCTTCACCAACCCGCGCGCCCACGAATGGTTCGAATTCACCTATGCCTTCCCGATCTTTCGTCTGCTCAAGGCGCGTCCCGAATTGATTCACATCCATATTCTTCACGCTGACGAGCACACTTCCAGGTGTTTCGCACCTTGCATCTCGAGCACCACAAATATCTCGGTATTGCTTATTCTTCTTCCTGATTTTCGCTCTGAATATGACGATAGGAGACCCCGTGCGCGACGCCGATGTGGTCAGATTCATCGACTACGGATTCATCGCCGACGAACAGATGTCGGCTGGTCGTAAAACGTGGCTCATGTTCGGACTGCCGTTCACGGGATGGTTCCACTACGAGTACATCAACACGCTCTTCATCGAATTCTGGACCGTCTCCAGCTGCTACCCGTCGAAAGTCATCTACTGGGCCCTCGTCCTCGCAGCGGTGCACGTTTCCGGCAACTGGGTCGGGTTCGGTAAATACTACGTCGTCCCGTGGTTGGGAATCCTCCCCATCACGCGCTGGTGGGCGGAGTTGGGCGAGCACCTCGGGATGGATATGACTAGCTACTTCGGGAACTCACGCACCAACGACGGGTTCTGGCAGCGGTGGTGGATCCACCCCCTGAACGACGGGCTCCATGCGGCGCATCACTTGAACAGCCAGGTGCCATACTACCGCTTGCGGAAGGCGCAGGCCGAGCTCATGGCGGAGAGCAAGGCGTTCAGGGAGAAGAATGTTTTCGTGAATGGGATGTGGGAGACGTTCAGCCAGATTTACACGCGGCCTACAGTCGTCCGAGAGCGGGTAGAGGGCGTGCATGCGGAGTGGAACAATGGGCGCCAGATATGGGCGAAACAGTGAAGGGTGTTCAGAGGTCTTGAACTGTTACATAGCACCGTGCGCATCTAAAATCCTTCGAGTTTACTTGAACAATGTAATCCAATGCTTCAGCCATGCGACGCCGGCAGATGTTTCATTGAAGGGATACTTCGAAAAGGCGCAACTGTACATTCGATTGATATATCACGAGGTCGATCCCCTCTGAGCTCCGGCCTTTGGGGCCATGCACTCGGTCACCAGGCTAGCGTCTGTCCAACTTGTCCCGCTCCCAGCTGGTATTTCAGAGAGCACGTAGCTGACGTCGAAGTTGCCGGCGGCCTACCAGGAAGAGGCGCAATAATTAGCCTTTTGGGAAGAATATCTAAGCTTTGCCCATCCGACGTATCCGAGGATGACTGGATTTTGTTAGTTGTATGTCGACTCAACTGTGGTTTACATACCGTCGCTGTTCTGCCCCTGATATGCGATCTGAAGGCATACGCATTTGTTCCCGAATTGTCGTAGTCGAGGTATTTGTGGACATCGAAGATGAGATCAATGACGCTACCGTCCGGGTCCACACCTTTCTTGAGTGCTACAGATAGGAAGCACGGGTAGCTTCCGCGAGAGTAAGTAGGTAACCTAGGTTACAATCTACCGTCAGCAGATCCGTTTGAGATGAACGTGGCAGCTGAAATCCAGTTGTTATCGGAGGATCATTGTTGCTCTTGAATAATACTGGGGTAAGCGAGATAAAAAAGGCCGGAAAAATACTGCGTAACCCGCATTACGAATGGCTGTGAGTGTGAAATCAATATATTTATACTACGAGAGGAGATTTGACGCAAAGAACGAAGAACGACCGCAAAGTATCTCCCTTGCGGGGCTCGCCGCGGGGGACGGCGGGGTGGGTGGGACGTGGTGGCGCGCGGCGGGGGTGCGCCCGAGGCGGAGTTGGAGCGCGAGAGGAGCGCGGTGGCGGTCGTCTTGATCGGGTACGAGTGTGCGTTGGGCTTTAGCTCCTTTGGGTCCGGCTTGGATTTGGTGGGAAGGACGAGGAGGGCGGCGACTCGCGAGGGGGTGCTTGGCACTGGAGAGGGCAGCGTCGACGTTGCGTCCGTTGGCATTGGGACGTCCTCCGTCGTCGTGCTCGTCGCCGTGCTCATCGTCGCCGACGTCGTTGAGGAGAAGAGATGCACGAAGGGGAACTGTCACTCCGGGCTCTGAGCCAGGTCATGTGCCTCGCTTTCGCACGGTTTGTCTGCTTGGTTGAAATTGAAATAAAATGGAGAGCACTAAACAGAAAGAAATGAGATAGACGCAGATAAAGCCGGGCGCAGCATACACTAAGAAAGCCCTGGTAGATCAACACAGATGACCCTCGAGTTGTACGGTCAATGTAACACTTCCTTCGCAGAGGTAGACGGAGGTCGAATCCTCCCCAGGACATTCATGTCGACCTCATGAACTTTTTTTCAATAGACCGCCCTACCTTTAGTCCACAATACACTCCGAAGGCCCTCACCGTCGGTGTAAAAAGAATTGAGTGAGCTCCCGTACCCACTAGAAGCTAAATTGCGTAACAGTGTCAATCCTACCCCTGCCAAGATTCAAGCATAGATGCTAATTCACAGATATATAGAGGCTCAGAATGGAGCTGAAAGCCCCAGTAGATCAATGCAGATCATCCCTTCTGTTATTGCCCAGTAGCGTTCAGAGGGAAACCGGAGGTTCGAATCCTCCCTCCGGCTTGGCTTTGTTGTAGTCTTGTTTTTTTCTGTAAAATAAAAGAAGCTCAAGTAAAAATGGTTCGCACCCCCGTGAAAAAATGTGTCTGAATCCATACTGAGATCCACGAACAAGAGTGTTCCGTTGAGTGCAGAATGTCTGCACTAAGCGAGAGAGAGAAATTTGGGCATGTATCCAGCCTCCGCACACGGCTAAGAAAGCCCTGGTGGATCAAGGCAGATCATCCCTTCTTTATGGGCGTTGACTGCGTAGTATGCAGAGGGAAGATGGAGGTTCGAATCCTCCCTGGGGCATAACCGGTAGACGAGTGTTTTTTTTTCCTCGTTGGCGTGAGGACCCTCTGCTGCAGCTTCCGTTCACACACTACTTCCTGTAATATAATTTAGGCACACGAAAATCATCTGAACCCGTTCCCACTCCTCGTCTAAAGACTGAGCGTTTAGCACCTCAAGCTTAAGGTGGATACAGAGATGCATGCGAAGTTAGCAGTACATATACATACTCAAGCTTAATGTCCAGCTAGGCAGGCCCTGGGAGATCGTCCCCGAGTTGTATTGGAGCTGCACGGACTCGGACCCGGGGAAGACGGAGGTTCGATCATTCCCCAGGACACTAAGCATTTTAAGGTCTTCGTTTCTTGGTGCTTACTATTTGAATACATACATCGTATAGCCAGGGTCAAAATAAAGGTTAGAGAGCCCTGGTAGATCCAGGCAGATCGTCCCTTCTCTATACCAGTGATCTACGTTTCGTTACAAAGGTAAGACGGAGGCTCGAATCCTCCCCACGGCGTTCATGTCGATATCGTGAGCTCTTTTTAAATAGTCTTCCCTACTTTAGTCCACAACACACTCGAAGGCCCGCAAAAAGAATTGAGTTCAATTTTCATGAGTCCGTACCTCTGTGCTCGTGGCAGAAGAGGCGGGTATATTCGGGCTCTGATTGCACCTAAGGATGCCCTTCTAGACCAATGTAGGTCCTCCTCTATCCTCGAGTCACCGAGTTCAGACAGAAGACGGAGGGTCGACTTCTCCCCGGAGGGCAATCGGGTAAAAAATCTCCCCCGGGAAGCTAAATCGCGTGTCAATCCCACCCCTGGCAAGATTCAAGCACCAAATGCAGATGCTGAAACTGACAGATAAATCCAGGCCCAGAACGGAGTTAAAAAGCTCTGGTCGATGAATGCAGATCATCCCTTCTCTGTATTTCATTCAGCCAATCATTTCAGGGGAAGACGGAGGTTCGAATCCTCCCTCGGGCTTAGCTCTTCCATAGTCCATGTTTTTTTCGGAAAGAAAGACAGTGGTTTGGCACCCACCTGAAAAAAAGTGTTGGAACCCACACTGAGGTTCCAAAACGTACAGCTTGGAAAGCCCTGGTAGATCGTCCCTTCTTGGGGAATGTGTGTGTCGAGCCTGATGCTCGATGAAAGAGTTACGCACCACCATTGTGTGCTGCACGCTCAGCTTTGCAGGCCCAGAACGTGCTTAAGAAAGTCCTGGTGCACTAATTCAGATCGTCCTCGCGTACACCACCATTCGGGAATGTTGTCCCCAAAATGTGTGGTTTAAATGTCTTGGAAATATCGACACAATGTCAAGCTCATATCCTCAGGAGCCTCATGCGATTCTTTGTCAAAAAATGCTCCAGGGATTGACTGAAATATTGCAGGGATGGTCAGGCAATGCAATATTTTAAAAATGTCAGACACAAACGGCGGTGTACATCGTCTGAATTCGACTCGATGGGAAGACGGAGGTTCGAATCCTCCCGAATGTGGGAACCGGTCTGAATGTTCTTTTTCTGCAATATGAGAAATCGCAAAGGCCCTCCCGCTTGAAGCTTCCATCACTGGACCTCCACATCGATGTAAAACTCGTTAAAATTCAAGCTGACTGTGGAATAGGAATAAGAAAGCCAGGCAGGAAAGGGGAAATGTCAGCGGGCCGGCATCTCCCGATGCAGGTCATATGCTTCGGGTTCCCTCGGTTTATTTTTGGGTTGAAACCGAAGTGAAGTTTGCACAAGAGGTACCCACCTGAGAAATTTGGCACACTAGGTATAAAAACTGACTTAAGCTCATCGCCCCCCTCTTTACATAAGCATTACATAAGCGCACGTGCCTTCCAAAAGCGGTAATTTCGTTCAATTGTCCTCGGCGTTGAAGTAATTATTCATCGCAGCGAAATAGAAACGGTTCGGCTCCTATGAATCCCCCATATTCTCCCCTAGTATACAGAGCAATGCTTTTTACGAACCCTTCCGCCAGCATTTGTGCGGCACTCATCATCGCAGTACCACTCGGAAGGAGGAGTTTTCAACCCCGCGCAACACAAATGAGCGCTCGACATGATGGTGGTAAGAGACAAAGATATGTGCTTGGGATTGATGTCAATCGCATTGGTGGATCTAGCATCACAGCTATCGCTGGATGCGATACGGATGGGGATGGGTGACACCAAACTTGCTCCCCGAGGACCTACAGCCGCTTAAAGAAAAGGGGAAAAAAAGGTATTTTATTATTATTGTCTTCAACGTGTTTTTGAGTGGTCCTGCAGCTTTTTCCAAAAAGTGAAATAAGGACCTCGAGACCCCCCTCCCCTCTTACCTAATGTCTCGGCATTCTCCGGCGGGTACCTCTTGAGTTTGCAGCACCTGATCCGGCATGTTTATCCTTGTTTGTCCCCCGCCAAAACGAGATTCTGGATGTTCCACCATGTTTCGCCATCCACAGGCACTTTATGGACACATTTGTGAGAAGAAAATGTTCATTATCCCCTGACTATAAGGATCTCAAAATATCCCTCACTTCAGTCGAAATGCAATACCTATGCTTATATTACCATCCACTCGGTATAAAAATGTTGTTGTAGTTCAGTAACATATGAGAAGGAAACTCAATGGGACACTTGCGAAAACAAACTACGAGTCATCAGGGTACAAAAGGAATAAATTGGAACAAATTTCGAGTCTATTGCGCCAAGGATTGAAGACGCGACCTGCTTGTCATGCATGTCACTTGTGCGGTGACAACACACGTTTGACATGCCATCGTAAACCATCCATCGTTTATTCAACTCTCTGTGGATTCCTTAGGTCCTGCAGCGAAAATCATAGGTAAATGGTCCCTCTACAGAAGTACTGTCCCCGATTTTTGGGAATGTCAATATTGTTCAAGAAACTGGTTGATTTGCCACAAAATCTAGTCCCATCTCACATATTTCAAAAAATTCAAAATTCGGCCACAGTACTTCTAATATTTACCCTATTCTGCGTTAATCTGCAGCCTCAGTTTTGATTTAAAGGTGTGTTGAGACCAAACGATGGTGGTTGCAAAACTGGAACCGACCTTTCCGGCGAGCCAAACAGGGCCAAAGCTGCCTAGACTCATTACCAGTCTGCCTATGAATGGCAACAATGTGGCGAGCATGTTGCCGTAGGCAGACTGGTACAATTCGGATAAGTTAATTGGATCGGGTGCAGAGTTTGAATTTTTTTGTGTGCTATGCCCTGGGCTCAAATCTTCATATTTAGTTTTGGTCAAAGCTGAGCAGTTGGATGGCATGGATATAGCTTACTTTCTGTCTCCTCAGAATTTCAGCTTATGGTGCCAGGGTGCTGTGGCGTAGCCTGGAGTTTAATCGAGAAAGTGCCTATCCGATCTGATGGACCGGGAACCGGTGATCGGCAAGTCTTTGGCACCCCTGTAAAATTTCAAACTCAGCCCCAGGTCAATTAGGCTTTCTGAATTGTACCAGTCTGCCTATGGCAATGTGCTCACCACATTATTGCGGTTCGTAGGCAGACCGGTCACGAGTCTAAAAGCTGCCGGCTTTTGATCGAGTGATGTCCCTCCCCACACCGAGCCTCGATAGACAGGAGTGTACATCCACGGGCCGAGAATGCATTGAACAAACCCTAGAATATCAATGCAGATTGCCCTCGAGTTCGCCGGAATATTTGTGTATCGCAAATGAACTTTATCGCCTGTGGCTTCACTCCGCAGTCTCTTATTCAATCTGTCTGTAGGCCCATAACGTATTTCATCCCGTAATATCCGAGTTTATGACCCTGGACCTTTACAGAAATGCTGGCAAATGCGAACACTCACTGGTATCTTTGTCCGTAAAATGCAGTGTGAATTCCTGGTAGATCACCGTGGATCATACCCCCTTGATGATTTCTCACCGTTAGGGAAAGACAGAGGTTCGAATCCTGCCAGAAGCCTCAGGTCTGCATGCATGATTTTTTCTTTTCTTCGTGAGGAGTCTGGCGAGCTGAGAGCTGCAGCTTCCATTCCGGACAGAACCTCCCTATGGCCCTTGAAATAAACGAGTTCGATATGTGGCAAAGAATCATGTGAGAACTAAATTGAAAACCTGTCGATGATCTGCATTTGGAGTGTGAGGAAGCTTACAATAGATGATCATTTTAGAGAACGGGAAGAGCACGAGATATATATCTGTAAAGCTACGCAAGTATCCTAATTTTCAGGGATCCGAGTGTCGTGTATGACTATGGACCATTGAGTGATTTTTATTTGATTAAAGCTCGACAACCAAAGTTGGAGTGGTGTCTGTACGTCCATGTCTCATCAATAATTGGAGACCTCTCGAAAAAGTAGACTCACCCTGGTTCCCATCCCGACAGTTCGTGGGTTCCTTTGTAGGTCCCCCAGAATCCTCTGCATCCATCAATGGAGAGGTTTTCGGGGCCGCGAGGAGATTTAATTTTTCAATCTGCCCCATGGTCTCGGCGGTATCTAGGTTTGTCCCTGAACCAGCGACAGTCCCTCCATTCTGACCTTCACCAGGATGTGCTGGATTTCCCAAACTATCTTGAGACAGTTGCACCAGTCGTTCATCATTTGCAGCTGCATCCTTCAACTGAGATGACCGGACAAAAAGTGGCTGAGCTTCCTGCCACATCTCTTTCGCTCGTACAGAATCACCACGCCGCATCATGATGTCCCCAATTCCAGTCATAGACTCGGCCCGGAGGCGATGGATATCCATCTCTGTTGCACCTTCTAAAGCAGTGTGGTAGAGATTTAGGGCTGTCTCTTCATCCTCGAATGCAGCAAAGATATCTGCGAGACACCGAAGGGCACGGAATGTGGCCACCCTATCCTTGGCTTTCCGAACAAGAGAAAAATAGACGAACGTCCACTCAAAAGTGGCCAGTGGGCTGTACATTTTGTGTCGTGGGTCCCCAAGAGCTGCCAAGCACAGAGCTGGAACATCCGAGTAGATGCCTCTGCTCTTCGATAAACACTCTTCAAATGCGATCCGGG